AGAGAGCCTCCGATCAAACAGCGAATAGCGGACAATCGTCCTTGATCACTTGATGGTCCCATCTGTCGTAATGTGTAGGCACTGTCGATGGTCAAGATGAGCAGTGTATTGCTGTATCAGATGCATAGTGACAATATCTTTTAGCCATCCACTAACTCTAATCGCACCACTTTAGCCAACCAGCTATCGCCTCTTCGGTGGCTTCGAAAGCCACAGTTCTTCGTTAACTTGTTAGGGTTGATCTGGGATACAACTCATTTACTGCGGGTGCCTAGACCTTAACATTCTTCTGAGGGATGGTGATCATCTAATAGAGGCGTGCAATAACTTATCTCCCATCCTATCATGACAGTCAACTCGCGGGCGCTATCTTGAGACCAAGCAGGTTGGCTGGATATGCGCTTATGATGTACCACGATCAAAATTTGTTCCGGAATGCATCCAGCATGCGGGATATCTTGGCCACTTAAGAAAGGATGTGATGTCCTGTGAAGAAATCACAACCCATTCGTGCTCCTCTTGGGTGATACTGGTGCCTGTGTATCAGTGTCCTCAATCCGCGTAGGGGTGGGCGTCCTCGCGGTATACTCAGCCCGCGCGCGACTAGTGGTGGTCGCGCGGCAGCGAAGCGTCGTTACGGCGTATAAGCTGACACATCATCACATTTCAGTGTCCTCGTCCTGCCTAAGCCAAGCTGTACTCGTTTTTGCATTAGGCCCCAATAAATGGCCTTTCTAGCCATTCTACCATCCGTTGCCACCACCAGCTTGCTTGATCCTCTAATCAAATGTGAATATAGACCGAAGGTTCCCTGGAGATGTCCGACAGTTTCGCACAATTTTGCCACGGACTGTGCATCTTTGTCGGATTTGTGGGTCCTCTAGAGAAAGACATGGACCGCGCTGCTGGTGGCAGAAGGGATCCCTGTCGAATTGCGGCAAATAGCCGCGAACAAAGGATATTCTGTTCCTCGTTTACAAAGTCCTTGGGGGTCACCCAATGCGCATGAGTAGAATCATGAGGAGCCTGTTAAGCATCGATCTTATTCCTTCGGGTTTACACTGGATATGGGATGTGTGGAGAAAGCTGTGAGTGGTGCAACGCAAGTCACCCATGGTTCCTCTTTCAGCGCAGATGTCGTGTGGCTCCCCTATGAAAGTCACATTGACAGGAAAATCTTTAACCGGATCCGGCCGACAATTCTTCCCAGCACTTGTCATTACTTTCATTGGTTCTTCAGTCAAATAGCTGCGGTATGTCATGGCGCATCTCCTCCTGTTTTCTTACCATGATGTAACCTCCAACTATCCCAAACTGCAGCATTGGCCCATGTCTCTCCTTCCGGCCTATTATCCTTATGACTGGCCCACTCGTCCTCACCGGTGTGTTTATTTCCAAACACAAAAATATCAACTACTAAACACATTGGACACTGCAAGCCCCGAGGGTTGATGCTTAACCGCTGTGACGGATGTTGCTTGAAACGTTCGGTGGCCCAGTCCTTAACGCTTCTTTCGGTACCCACGACGACATGCGCTCAGTTCCTAATCCTAGCTATTGATACCCCAATAAACTAAACACTTATGAGACAGATCTTGGGATGCACTGTTTTAGTGGTGAACAAGCCTAAAATGGTCTGCGTATATTTGGTTGTTTGGATCTTCCGGGTGAGCTATCGAAGTTTCATCAACATCTTCATTTGGTAGATGCTACGATTTTGTCGCCTCTGCTTACTGCATAATTACTATTCCAATTCCTATGGTTGTGCTTATCATTACTATGTGCATTTTGTATCCCCAAATTTTTAAAAATCTTGCAGTCACTAGATTAAATTTCCCCTTTTTGTTGAAATTTGCTGCCAGCAGCATCATCATTATACACGTTAGCTAGAGGTACGAAACACCTCAGCTACTGTGCCGCCATACATAAAGGGGGAAAATAATGCAACAGGCGCAAGCCAGCCGAGCTACCTGTAACGGATAGGCGTCGTTCCGGTAAGGTACCAGCCGGTTACTATGCAGCAGAAAAATTAATTTACTATGGAAAATTATACAAGGATAAATATTGAGATCTTGGTTGGAGGGAAGGCTAAGATGGATGGGGTGGGACAAAGAAACTCACAGCACGAACGCCACTGAGGTCGGCTGCTAGCCCTGTCAACAAGTGTATCCAGGCAAACGTGTTCATAGTCTTTCGGACCTCAGCCAGGGAGCCGAGACGCTCCAACTGAGGCGAGTTTCGAAGTGAGGGCCTTCATTCCTCTCGACCAAGTCATCGCTTGGGCACCTCTTCTTTTCTCAAATCCACGTCCGCGGCGCGAAAACAACGCAAGTCGCGGGAGTCGGTGGGCTGGCATGCGTAATAGGTGGCCGAGCCATCGGAGCCTGGTACGTGAAATAACGGTGCTGAGCGGTTCATTTCCTTTTCCTGTGCCGTAAACAAGGCGTCGAAATCGTTCGTTGCTTACTCGGTGTTCCCACCAGATGTGAGCTAAATTGCGAAGGCCCCCGGTGGTCGATCGTTACTAGCTTCTTTATGTCAGTTGATCTAAGGGACCAAGTTTCAGAGCCGTACAGTAAGGTCGGACGGGCCGTTGCATTGTACACTCAATCCTTCAGGGCGAGAATAATGTCGAGCCGGCGCCATAAGTGGCGAAGGTTAGCAAAGGCGCCTCATACTTTTACTATACGGTTCGTGATCTGATCTTCAATCCTACTGGCGCTGATACAACTTTCCAGGTAGTTGACTTCTAGCTGATCCCCACCAAGGGTCAGCGAAGGAGGCGGTCCAGACCAATCTTGGAGGAACGTTTTGCAATTCGAAGGTGCGAAGCAAAACCCGAAGTGGCGGACAGCCAGTGCTAATCTGTCCATTCCTGCTTGGCACGTCTGGGAGCTGTCACACATGAGGACAATATCATCAGCGTACTCCAAGTCAAGAAGTCGTTTTACTGGGAACAGATCCACACCTTCTAAGTCGTGTCCTGTGAACGCGATTTCCATGACTTCGTCAACAACGAAGTTAAAGAGGAAAGGTGATAGCGGGCATCCTTGTCTCACACCGCTGGAGATATTAAAGGGCGACGACAACTTGCCATAAGCCCTCACTCTGCCCGAGCTACGCGCATATAATGCTCGGATAATATTTACATATTTCTCAGGTACACCTTTCCTGAGTAGACAGTCCCAAAGTGCATGCCTATCCACCGAATCGAGTGCACCTTTGATATCGAGGAACACGACAACGGTGGGCCGCCAATATATGTGACGGTGCTCCAACGACTGACGCAAGGTGAAGATGTGGTCAATGCAGCCATGTTCTCGACGAAACCCGGCTTGCTCTTCACGAATCTGGCTTTCACGCGTGCCAATCAGTCAGTGATGGATGACAGAAGCAATCGCCTCCAAATTTACTGACAGTAGTTGGACATAATCTGGGAAAGCGATCGTTTACCGGCGAGTGCGAGTTTCTGCTTGTCCTGTGATTTTGGATCAAATCACGTTTTTGGACGCCATAATGCATTTACATTTCCTTGCTCATATAAACCTGGTAGCCCACTTTCCATCTACCTCCAATCGAGTGATGATGCAAACCAATTCAAAAACAGTGGTTGCTCAACTCTCAAAGCTTTTCATTTGTCAGCGCTGTTTGCTTTGCGGTTTTTTCCGCCGGATACCAAACTAACCCGACAAACTGGTTTCTTTGGTGTACTTTAATGTTCACAAACGCTTCATTGCTAATCGACGGGAAATCATGTATTCTTAACGTGCTTTTTGATCTTTCCATACTAATGCTGTCTAGTTATGGACACCCGAAGTCCATGAGCAGTTGATTGTCTCGAACATCGCTTAATTTTTCATTTACTCGGCCTTTGCCGAAAGATTTAACTCAGTCATCTGCAAATTTTCCAAACCATGCTGACTGGCGCACCCCACAATGCGTGTTGAGCCTTCATCTATGAACATCTATCACTTGCATTTAACGCTACCAAGTCTGTCACTTCCACACTTGTTACACGTCGCCTCGGAGTTTGACGTATATCGAGGTTGTGATTGGTCCTCTAAGACTGCGCTGATTTATTTTTATAATGACAAATCCACGTTTTCTTCCTTGTTTATCGTCATTCAACCGCTTGCTTCCGCAGCCAATAGCACTTTGTTGCTGTTGGCTGCTTTTCTTTAGACTTTCGAAGCATCCGTATGAACATTCGTCATGTAATAAGTGGAATTTCTTACATCCAGTTAGTAGAAACTTCTCATCCGACTTTCTTTTTCCATAAAAATGATGTTCGCCAACATATTGTTTAATGGTATATTGAGTCTGTTGTACTGTGGACTACGTTGGCTTCTCTGAAACACCACCGCTCTCCTCGCTATGATTGCTCTACACTCTTCATCATTCACTGGTTTTGATAGTCACTTTTATCTCCGCAGTAATTTTATATTCAGGTTGGGAGTGCATACTTCACAGTGGGCCCGGCGGTGTTTTCAGGAACACAGGAGCAGAACAGATCTGTGTGCTCCCCTCGCCTATATAACTGTCACAGAAGACCTCGTCCCTTTTTGCTCCTCCTCTGGTTACGATTTGTTTTGATGCTAGGAAACTACACAAATTGTTGCACGCCGCCTAATCCTCTCCCTACTTGACGGCGTTTACAATCCTCTTTAAATGAGGGTCCACGCCACTGCTGTTGTTCGTTTCGATTGCATTATTAGCTCTCGTTTGTTTACCTCTTGTCTCGTCCATTATTCCACACATTATCCACATGAATGACGCTTACATTTGGATGTAATTTGACTGACGAGTTTCGTTTGAGTTAACACCTGTGACTGTTTAAGAGAGAGAATGATCGGGTATCGGTTGATTCTACCGCAGCACAAATATCATGAGGTTAATTTATTTCACAACGTTTGGTCCTAGCTTGCAATTTGTCCATTTTCCACATCACTCTTCAATGGACCGCATACGCGGAGCGTTTCATTTCATTCTTCCCACCATAGAAAGAAAAAAAGGGCAAGGAACGTAAAAAGTGCAAGAAAAAATGCTGTATTCAGTGAGGCTTTGCGCCTTCTCCTAATCTCCCGGGCTGTTGAGAATGCTCCAATTCCAAGCACTTATCCGTCTTGCCTGCGTGGCGAACTCCATTTCCTCTGAAGGTTGAATCCTGCGACCAGGGGGACACTATAACATAATTCGCTGCTCTCCTTGTCACTTGACTTGACCAGACTTGATTGCATTCCCTTGTTTATTTTCCTCACCGGTCCATTCTCACACACACTACCCCTGCTACAGGATCCTAGCTTTAATTTTTGGCCACTGTATTGACTGATTTCTTTTATATTTTCTTTCCATTTTCCCTGGTATAACACTCTCATTGTCAACCCAGTGACACCTATCCCCTCCATCCTCAGCGTGCCACCTGCTTGCCTTTTTCCTCACTTCCACCTTCGTTGTGTGTGTGTGTGTGTGGCCAATATTGTGTTCGCTGAGTTATGAAGCAAACTCGCATTTGTTTTTCTTATCGCGCCCATGTTACGAGTCTTGATCCACAGCAACGCAGTGCTCGCTTGCCACACCAAGCACTCTGGAGCCCAACTGGTCGCGTGCTCTTTTCTGTATATTTCTGTGCATTCACCCATCCCTATTTGAATTTGGATTCCCCCCGCCCTGTACAGACATTTTCTGGCGATTTCACAGTGGTATTTTCATCTTAATCTTTACTTGGCTCCATGCCTGACGTACTACTTACTGATCGTGTCAACCGCTTCATTCGTGCTAATGAATTTAGCAAATCTATACGCACTTCTCTTTTATCGGCACTACTCTTGGGTGATGGCTGTGTTGATGAGGTGTACCGCGCATCAGTGACCTATACCTACTATGCCACACCAGGATACACCAAGGTCACATGCACCACTTGCCCCAGTGTGCATCCATTTTCCAGTCAAACATTATTTTACCACCTACATAAGCCGACCGGTGGCCGAATGGATTAGGTGCCTGCCTGTAATTCAGAGGTCGCTGTTTTGAATCCGCGGGCGATCTTCAGGTGAACTCAAAATAAGCTTCATTTGCTCAAATGGGCACATTTTCAGCATTTCACAATATTAACAACGGATGGCCTAAGATGACGTCATCAGAAATGTTAATATGTACAATTGGAAAAGGGAACTTGGTGTACAAGCGTTACTTGAATAAACGTTGTGAGATTGTACGAACCCGAGGTGCAATCGGAATTGTTTATTGTTTCCAACCTGGCTTATACTAGATGCATCGGTTCTGACCAACGGAACATCCACTCATCTTCGCACTCTTTATTGTAGTTACATGGTGCGGATTTCTTTCTGTGTTTAGTAGTGTGCAGGGCTTATGCGTTCGTTCCTCCTTCGCATACAACCGCGGGAGTCATTACGGCCTGCTGTTGGCTGGTTGCCGTTTCGCCTCTTGGCACTTCCTTGCTGCTGATAACTGGCGCATTAGTGTCTACCTTTAGTCCACCACAGGACCAACTAGTGAAAATTACACGTTTCTGGACAGAACAGGGTTTGCATTATGTTGACAGGACGGCGCAGCGCATCCGCACTTTATCGAAACGTTTCTTGATCATGAATCGCTTACAGTGCTGAATATCTTGAGGTTTTCTCACAATGATCAACGGTCAGAAATGATGACTGGAAATTGTTTGACCAAAGACCAAACACTCCGGGAAAACTGCTGTATCCGCAGGGTAAAAACGATGTTCTAGGGAAAAAGGTGATGGACGATTTAAAAGCCCCGCCATTGCTGCGACATGCCCAGCCCATGCGCGACTAGTGGTGGTCACGTGCCAAGGAAACGTCGGTACAAAGTGCCGACGTACTGCTGACGCCGCATGGGTACTGTTTGGAAAATGGTTGGCGGGCTAATCACATCCACTTGGCTGTGTCACATTGCGAAGCGGATGCTCCATTTGCGTTGTACTTGATTGACTCGCTTGCTACCTACGATCACGTCGATTGTCACCTTGATGTTGAACGTAGTCGGAGGAATTGCGACGAACCCGACTACGTAATAGTCCTGGCGATTTGCTTGTCTATGCGAATCTGTCAAATTGCTTTTGTCCTTTGACAAAGCATTTAATATTTTTTGTACTGTGATTCGCCAACCAACCAAATTGATGTCGAAGCACTTATTAATGCTTTTTAGCTCACTGTGTTGGCAGCATGTAGCAGTTTAGCACAGTTGCGGCTAGATTGAATCGGCGCGTGATGAAATCGTCCATCTTCGGACTGCGTGGCTTTATCTTTAGCTTCCCCCAGTTTTAAAACTTTTCTCAACCACGATCATACAATGTTCGTTGTCAACTACCCTTCACTTGTACTAGGGAACAACAGCAAACTGATAATCGCAATGCTGTTACAACCTAACGTTAATCAAATGCACCGAGATATCATGCGTTCATTTGGATCTTACTCTGTGGATGTCTTGTTTCGGTGAGACGCTGCTCGTATGTGTGACACCAGAGTTATCATTAACAACTGAAGTTATTAAAGACTATTCTACGATCCCTTCTGGTACCGGGCCCAATGCAACCATAATGGATATCGAGTGCCACCCAAAATGACATCTTCGGGTTGGCCGAAACGCCTGGTGTACTCCGAAGAAACAGGAATTGTAGGTGATGCGATCAAAGGATAACTACCATAGTGTTTTCTTACTGATCCACACTATTAGTCTCAGGTATTTAGCAGTCAGCGGAACAGTTCGGAGCCCCCAAACTGAATCATTGACTGGAACTCTTCTGCACACTATTCAGTCGATCTCAGAGCCTTGGAACACAACCACGATTTTTAACTCTGTCATTGATCCGGATTATTTTGTTTCCGTGCTATCCGTGGCTGATCAGGAAGTTCCATGCTAAGAATTCGCCCATCTGACCTAATTGGTGTGGAAGAGGACTCTACTCTAGCCGCTTGGTGCCAATCGATCGCAGTGGGTATTGACAGAAAGTGGTCACATGTTCACTCCCCATACAGAATAGGCCCTTTGCTTTTTCTTGCAAATTACCTTCCGTGCGTCATTTAACTCGTGGCTAACAACCGAGATATGCTATTCCAGATGAGATGGAATTTCAGTGAGTAACGATCTGAATTGACCTTATCCTTTTATTTACGCACAGCAGAAGTGTGCCCCGTTAACCATCGAAAGTGTTCTCTCCCCGGCATCGGTGCATGTCATATTTCTTAAAGAGGACCTATAAATTCCACTTCTGATAAGGCTTTCATAAGGCTTTCACAAGCTACATAGCAGAGCCTAGTCCGGAAAAGCGCCAGACGCGTTTGGCCCTATTAAGGCTCGTCAGTGGCGCGCATTCCCTCGGTCCTCTATGGAGGATCAAACCCATGACTGCTAGAGGCAGATGCCAACTAGCCAGCAACTTAAGCCACTGAGCCACAGGGGGGACGTTGGCTGGGCTACATAATTTGCAAACTAGCTGGGATATAGCACCACCTATCTACCACTGTCACTGACAGTGGTTCGCCTGCAAGATGATGACGTCCTCTCACTAGACGCTGTATCTATAGCATTTGAAACTAGGAGAGGCTTTTGGTTTTATAGTACTCATTAGTAGCAGGATTTTAGTTGTAAATCTGATAAGGCCCTCATCCCAACAGTTCACAAGCTACATAGCAGAGCCTAGTGCAGGAAAAGCACCAGATGCGTTTGGCCCTATTGGGGCTCGTCAGTGGCGCGCATTCCCTCGGTCTTCTATGGAGAATCAAACCCATGACCGCTAGAGGCAGATGCCAACTAGCCAGCAGCTTAAGCCACTGAGCCACAGGGGGGGGACGTTGGCTGGTCTACATAATTTGCAAACGCGTCTCGCCCTTTTCCGGACTAGGGTCTGCTGTGTAGCTTGTGAACTGTTATAATGAAAGCCTTTTCAGATTTACAACTAAAATCCTGCTACTAATGAGTACTATAAAATCAAAAGCCTCTGCTAGTTTCAAATGCTATAGATATAGCGTCTAGTGAGAGGACGTCATCATCTTGCAGGCGAACCACTGTCAGTGACAGTGGTAGATAGGTGGTGCTTAACTCAGCTAGTTTGCAAATTATGTAGCCCAGCCAACGTCCCCCCTGTGGCTCAGTGGCTTAAGCTGCTGGCTAGTTGGCATCTGCCTCTAGCAGTCATGGGTTCGATCCTCCATAGAAGACCGAGGGAATGCGCGCCACTGACGAGCCCCAATAGGGCCAAACGCGTCTGGCGCTTTTCCGGACTAGGCTCTGCTATGTAGCTTGTGAACTGTTGGGATGAAAGCCTTATCAGATTTACAACTAAAATCCTGCTACTATTGAGTACTATATATTCCAATTCCTCGGTGACGCATTCCATTACATGAGCTGTATTTCACAACCAGTCACCAACCCTTTACACAGGAAAGTCCTCTTATCTCATCTGCCACTGGGTCTGGTCGTTAGCCATCACCGATTCACTTGCGCCACTATTATCCTCGTGGCATATCGACGCCTATTTAATCCCTGGAGATAAGCGAATAGGTGTCTCGCTCTTAATAGTCTGTCTGAGTATTTTACACTTCTGCGTAATTTTCGTGTTTCGTGCCAGCAACACATCAGCCAGGGAGTCTGACTACCAACCCTGAAAACATGAGACGGCTGGTCACTGATGCGCAATCCCTCGGTCACTTTCAGTGGACCGAACCAATGATCATTAGCAGCTTGTACCAACTAGCCAACAGCTAATGACATTGAGCTACGGGGGTCGGTGGCAAAACCTTATAAATTGCGAGTCATGGTCATATCCAACTCCATGTGGGGAAATCGGACATAGTACCCATCATCGCCATCATCCATCATCATCCTCTCCTCATCCTCACCATCTTTGTTGTGTATTCTGTCAGCATTCTTGACGGCTAGTCTAAACAGACACGTGCACACAACCCCAGACACGCACACAAAGCGTCTCATTCTGTGCTTCCCTATTGCTTCATCCTTCTCCTTGCGACACCTTTATGTACTCACCCAGTTAGACATTGATCAGATTACAGCAGTTCGTTTACGAGAGTGACCTTTTTACTATGGTTCGTATATTTGACCTTTCGTATACAACACTGGCTTTGCGGCTTACGAACCTACGCCATGGAATTACATCCTCCTACAGTTTATTGGTCTGGTCCGACCTTACGTCCTACCAAATGTTCATGGGCCCATTGGAAAACCTCGTTTGCAAACTATCCTGACCTACTACCTGCGGCTTCTAACTACACTGAAGACCAGAAACTGAAGCTTCTCAGACAGCTACTCGGTGATGAAGGACAACGTCAATTTGATGCTTTGGAGCTGCAGTCACAAGATACCTTGACGAAAGCG